CGGCGGTGCCCTCCTCTTGCCTCATGAGCATTCGCGGGCCCAGGTGAAGTCGCTGTCGCTGTGGTGCCTAGCCAAAAACGGAAACGTGGCGGAGGTTCGGGGAAGGAGCGGCTAGGGCAGAGGCTAGGGAGTGTGGAGCAGGTGTAATGACAGTGTGAGTGAATGGTGCATGGCGCGCAGCATCGCCATCTCGACGTGTTGCGGGCAGCAGCCGCTGAGCGTGGGGACGTGCACATTTCCCTACCTACCTACCCTTGCAACGCTGAGCTCGCGTCTATCAGATCCACCGCCCTACACCTCACCATCATGGCCTGACATGCCGCAGAATTCCATGTGCCGACAATTCAGGCCCCATAGTCTCATGGCGCCTGGTGCATCTCCGGGCGAGGAGCGGTTCTGACGCCGTCACGTGCGCGCCTTGCGCCGCTATCCAGGGCCTCTTCCCTCGATCGGAGCTCGCCGATGGCCATCTCAACGAATGGAAACGCGTTCTGGCCGCCTCTTTGCCGACGCTCCATAGCTTGCTCGTGCCTCAATCGCAAACCGCTCCTGTACAGTTCGGTATCCTCCGTGTGCCGTCCATCAGATAAGGTGCCGTTTCATAAGTATATCTAGCTTGATCGCCCTTCTTGATAACTCTATCCACTCACCTTCAGCTCCCAACTGACCCTCGCCTAATTACATACACCTCGCGCCCTTATCTGAAGCGTTCCAGGCTATTATCTTAATCTGCACAGCTTCGCTCGCAATGTCTCAGCTTACTCACGCCCGCTACGGCAAGGACAACGTCCGTCTCTACAAGGTCGACAAGGACCCCAACACCGGTGTCCACACCGTCGTTGAACAAACAGTCTGTGTCCTACTTGAGGGAGACATTGAGACTTCGTACGCTTCTCCACCGAGACTCTAGCATACCCTATGTTAACGACCTCCAGCTACACCAAAGCAGACAACTCTGTCATAGTCGCGACCGACACGCAAAAGCAAACAACCTACATACTCGCAAAACAAAACCCTATCGACCCGCCCGAGCAATTCGCTGCCATCATTGGCGACCACTTCGTCAAGACCTACCCTCACATTCACGCCGCGCACGTCAAGATCATCCAGCACCGATGGACGCGCATGACTATCGACGGAAAAGCACACCCACACTCGTTCTTCCGCGACGGTGAAGAGACTCGCGTGGTCGAATCCGTGACACGCGAGAACGAGGGTGTCTCTATTCGCTCCAAGATTGAGAAGCTCCTTGTTCTGAAGAGCACAGGGTCAGCATTCCATGGCTTCCACCGTGACGAATACACGCGTCTGCCCGAAACATGGGACCGCATTTTGAGTACAGAGGTTGAAGCTGGCTGGCAATGGAAGCTGTTCAAGAACCTGGATGAGGCCAAGGCCGTAGACTTCAACAGTGCCTGGACCGCGGCAAGGGATATCACTATGAAGGTCTTCGCCGAGGATGATAGCGCCAGTGTGCAAGCAACTATGTACAAGATGTGCGACCTGATCTTGGCCGCTGTTCCTCAGGTGGATGCTGTGGACTATGCGCTGCCCAACAAGCACTACTTTGAAGTCGGTACGTGGGACCAATTGTCTCCTCTTGCATTCATTCGCTAACATGGCACTAGATCTCTCGTGGCACAAGGGCATCAAGAACACAGGCAAAGACGCCACTGTCTTTGCTCCTCAATCGGACCCCAACGGTCTGATTTTCTGCACTGTTACTCGCAAGGGTACCAAGTCGAAGTTGTAGATGCAGTAGCATTATGCCGTCGCACATTGGTTTCTTGTACATTTCTTTAGGTCATCGAGCGAGTTTTGGAGAGATTGTCAAAGGAGAGTAGAACATTATACCACCATTTCTTATTGTCTGTTGGGGACGAATGAGAGTAGTATATCATCTTACGAGTAGAGCGAATACAACCGTTTTACTCACTTTCGCGGCATGTGATGTGACAAACTAGAGATCGCCTGTAACGAGCGAAAGGACGTCAAGCCCATTCATCAAGTCTCATGTAGCTGCAGAATTTGAAACTTGGCTCAAGTACAATTATGTAGAATTACATGTCTTATACACGCACCCTGATGCTATGGTATATCTTCTCTTGCCCCCTTTGACCACCTCTCGTCATGATACTGGTGCCTCCGCATTCTGTGCCTTGACCTCTGCAAACGTCTTTTTGACCTCATCGTGCTCCACTATACTCTGTCCACCGCCGTTTCCCACCTTTAGAATATTCTCCTTGTAAGGGTGCGCTCTCCCCTCGAACGTCTTCAACCTCGCCAGCCTGTCCTTCCTTAACCTGTTCTTGGGCAACATGCCGCTGACCGCCTTCCTCAAAACCTCTCCTCCTCCCCACTTGGCGATCATCCTGTCCATGGAGAGTTCTTTGAGGGAGCCCGGACGAGTCGTGTGTGTGCGGTAGAGTTTCTGGAAGCGCTTCTTGCCGGTGGTGTGCAATTGTGAGCAGTTTGTGGCTACAACGTAGTCGCCGCAATCAGTCGAAGGGTCGAAGATGGGTTTGTGTTTTCCCATGAGGGTCAGGGCTATAGCGGAGGCGACGCGGCCGAGCGCGCGTGGGTCGGAGCCGATGTCGAGATGGTGCCATGAGCGGGCGTAGGCTAGACGCGTCTAGATAACATATTAGCCCTAGAAATAGCACGTCTTGCGATGGTGACTTTGGCTGCGATCATGGAGTTCTGAGATGCGGAGGTCCGACAGAATACACACCTTTCCTATGACTTGCGACATGGCGGCTGCGAAGTCAATGGCCTAATAGGCCAAGTATAGTCGGGCGTCGGTATTGACCTGGAGTCCGGGGTCCTCGCTCGAGAGATACTGGCGAAGCTACGAGCGGCGTTGGCTTGTCGGCGTGGATGGAAGTCGATGCCAAGCCTGAGATCCAACGTGGATTGGCGATAAAATATGGCCCGGGGACGCCCGCCCGCCCTGCGCCACACCATGGTTAGGTGGGGCCTCGATTTCAAAGCGTCCCAAAGGCGAAGTGGCATGCTCACAACTTGACCATTCTACCAATAGCGCAGAGTTTCAAACAACATTACACTCGAATTCACAACTTTCAACATGACTGTTCCGTCGTTTGAAACCATCTTCGCGGTGCCTATGACCTGCCAGTCGTGCATCAACGACATCGAAGGCTCCCTCCAGCAATTGGGTGGTACGACTGATCCCGATGCACGTCATCCGGCTTCTAACAGCATGTAGGCGTCAACAAAATCACTGCCAACCTTGAAGATCAACTGGTATCTGTCGAGGGCACAGTAGCGCCGTCGGCCATTGTTGAAGCTATCCAAGCAACTGGCCGTGATGCAATTCTAAGAGGATCTGGAAGATCAGACAGTATGCTCCATCTTGAAGAGTCGGCATGTGCATCGATTCTAACATCCGAACAGGTGCCGCAGTATGCATCTTAGAATCGCACGCACCTAATGTAGAGAACAAAGTTCGAGGATTAGTGCGCATGGTTGAAGTAGCTCCGAGTATGACTATCATCGATCTGAGCATAAGGGGATTGTCGCCTGGAACGTACCAGGCTACAGTTCGCGAATCTGGCGACATATCCGACGGACCAGAATCTACCGGCGCCATCTGGGAGTATCTCAAGGCCAAAAAGGAAGACAAGCCGTGTCGGGGCATCTTTGGAACCGTCCAGGTAGGAAAGGGTGGAGTCGGATCTGTGTTCCTGGACAAGCCCATCCACATCTGGGAGATGATCGGACGTAGCATCGTGGTTGCGCGAGAGCAAGACGGCCAGGTATGCGAAACCGCTAGTTGATCTGAGATCTACTCTGACCTTGCACAGTTTGACAAGAACGATCCGGATACGCTAGTGGGTGTCATCGCACGTAGCGCTGGTGTTTGGGACAGTGAGTGCTCTTGGTACCCCACGTGTTCTGCGCATGGCGTGTGGTACTCTTCGCGTGCGTATGTGCTAACGGTTGTGCAGACGACAAGACGGTATGTTCATGTTCCGGCAAGACGGTCTGGCAGGAGAGGGAAGAGCAGCGCGATCGCGGTATGCTATGAGTTCAAGAGACACCAAGATAGACCAAGTAATAAAGTGCCGTCGAAATGCCGTGTTGGTTTGGTGACGAGAGATAAGGCTTGCACCTTGAAATCTAGGCCGAAACTAAGACTGCGCGAACACGGACTTTGCGAGGCCTGGAATCGTCATGCGTTCATGCCTGAAAACGCCAGGCGACGGGATGAGTGGCTGCAGAGAGGCTGCGTCACGTGGCTGTCTCAGTCGGCGGATTTGCACGTTACAGACCTCAAACGCCATCACTCGATGATCGCAGGGGGCCAGCAGTCCGATGTGCGCCGCGGTGGGTTGCTGGCAGTGAGCCTCACGAAGCGAGGCTATGGGTACTGCAGAGGCGCTTGGGAGAATCGCTAGGCTCTCGGAGCATCGCAGGACGGTGGTGTCATGCTCGAGTCGGCCGGGTTGAGGCGTCTTGGACAGGCGCGTAGCGCTGTGGCTCTCGGGCTTCACGGTGCAGGGATCCAATCACGGTGCCGGGTACCGTGTCGGCCAAGGCTTGTCTCTCAAACGCGCTGGACCTCAGAATTGGTCTCCCCACCGGTAGCCCTCCTGCAACCGCCCGCCAAATTCCCACCGTGTCCCTGTCTCTTCCGAGCATTGCCCTCGAAACCTCCTCCTCTCTCTCCCGGTTTCCCAACTGTGCCTTAATTCCCACACCTGTACGATCGTTAACTCCCCCGCGCAACCCACCGCATCTTGGTGTACCTCGACGACTTAATAGCGACACACACCTACTGGACACTAATTCTCCTCGTCGCGCATATCCACAAGCCCCGGCGGCTACTCTGTAATCTGGTGGAATTGAGACGAACACATCCGGAAGTTTGCGCGTGAGAAGGAACACGACCCCTCGTCCAACGGTGGAGTGCTAGGAAAGGCACTACCTTGAGGCTTGACGACACCATACTGCCGGGTAACAAGTGAAGATCACTCGTCATGTCTCTGAAGCAGGTGCGCTCCTTCCTCCCGCGCGTCGCTCCTGCCGAGTTCAATTACTGATAGGTGGGGTAGGAAATCGAAACCTGGGTGGCAGCCCTCGCCAGCTACGACAACAATGAGTTCGACGTCGCATTGAAGGTCTTTGACACAATCTCCGATACGTCCAAGATTCTGTTCAACTGTGGCGTAATCCATGCCACACTCGGCGAGCATGAGAAGGCGGTAAGTTGAGGGCAATGGCTCCAGCAGTAGGTGCACGTGCTGATGACTACACAGGTCGACTGCTACCAGCGCGCTGTGCGTCTGGACCAGTACCTCGCCGTGGCATACTTCCAGCAGGGTGTGTCAAACTTCCTCATGGGCGACTTCGAGGAAGCTCTCGCCAACTTCAACGACACACTCCTCTACCTACGCGGAAACAACAACATCGATTACGAACAATTGGGTCTCAAGTTCAAGCTATACTCCTGCGAGGTGCTGTTCAACCGCGGTCTTTGCTACATCTACCTCCAGCAAAGAGACGCCGGTCTACAGGATCTGTCTTTCGCAGCCAAGGAGAAGGTAGTACCCGACCATGATGTGATCGACGAGGCTATTCGGGAGGAAGCAGAAGGCTACACCGTCTTCTCCATTCCCGTCGGCATTGTCTACCGTCCCAACGAAGCCAAGGTCAAGAACCTGAAGACGAAGGACTATCTTGGAAAAGCCCGTCTGGTCGCTGCTTCAGACCGGGCCAATGCCTTTACTGGCTTCGCTGGCGCCGAAATCAAGAAGGGAGGCCAGGCCGCAAAAGATGACAGAACTGAGGATAAGATCTCGTACGCGGCGACAAACCTTGTCAAGCCAGAACTTCAGAGCAGAGCACGCCAGCAGTCAGAACCACCAATGAACCGTAACATGTTCCCACCCACACCGCCACCGGAGGCAGACAGGAGGTCTGGTGACAGGAGATCTGGTGGAGAGCGGAGACCTGCCGCCGATGCTCCCATGAGCCGCGCGCAATCCGTACGAGGCGGTGGCCCCAAGCCTCAGCCTCTGAACCTTGGACGAGCTGCCTTTGATCAGCAAAGCAACAACGAGCCGCCTCGTCGCCAGCCAACACAGCGCTCCGCCTCTGAACGTCCACCACCAAGTCGTTCAGAGTCAATGCGAGACCGAGGGCAACGTGATCAGCGGGATCAGCGAGACCAGCGAGACCGTGACTACAGGCCACGTCGCCGTGGGTCTGACGATGATATCATTGACGACTACTACGATAATGATCCCTACCCGCCTTCTCGTGGGAGCCGCGGGGCATACGCTCGCTCAAAACAGAGCAGGCGACCGGCTTACATTGAAGAAGAAGACGAAGACGACTACGACGGTAGTGATCTTGATGACGCCGAATTCGAGATGATGTCTCGCACAAAATCCAGGAGACGATCCCCCGCCCGCTCCGCCAGATCTGGTGGTAGCACCCGCGGTGCAGGCAGCAAAGTCAGAGTGAAGGTTCACTCTAGTGACACACGTTACGTCTTCATCAGTTCGGATCAATTAATCACTGAATTCTGGCAACAGATTCGGGAGAAGTTCGGTGTACGAAATAAGTTCAAGGTGGAGTTCAAAGACGATGGCGACATGATCACCATGGCCGACCAGGACGATCTTGACATGGCTATCCAGACGGCGAAGAGTGTTGCAAGGAAGGAAGGCAGCGATATGGCCAAGATGGAGGTAAGTTCTTGTGCACTATCAGCTTGAAGACTACGTACTAACTACTTTATCAGGTTTGGGTTAGAGAAGTATAGACTAGAGATACCCCAGCATCACGCATTATTACGATCCACATTACATTTCCTTTCATCCTCGCGAACGCATATTGATTGCTTCGGCGTCCTTGCTTTGACAGCGCTCGATCTTGCTGTATTTGTAGCGAGCATAATTGCTGGTTTTTGCTGGCATGCATAAACACCTGTACACTCTTTTTTTCACAGCCGGACTGTTGATCCGCTATTAGAGTCGGCTTTTGCATGTATGAAAGGCGTAATCGAACCTTACGAATGAAGAACTACCACCAACAATTGTTTCCGCCGCAATGTGATATCGTGTAAATACGTGCATTGGTACATGGAGTACCTGCAGTAGACAGCTACCACGCAGTAAGGCCTTCTGCATGCGCCACCAGCGCGTGGAAGTACCAACAACCAGGTTTTACGACTACCATTCAAGTTACTTTCGCTGCGCCGCAGACCGACTAGTCCTTGACGCCACCGTGCCGTATGAAAGTAATCTACCGAGTACGAATCACCATCGTTATTGCAACTTGCCAATAACCCCAAAGCGTGTCTCGGCGAACTGACTGGCGCGTGCAATGACAACAGACAGCTTATGAGCGCCAAGGCACACTCCACGATAGCCAAACGATACCGTCCACCAACTTGTTCATCCCGACGTATGTGCGTACGCCACGCGTGTGCTTCCGATACGTCCGATTACGCGCCCGAAACAGCTCGTGACAAACCCGCGGGAAATCCGGACGGCAAATGGCAAATCCGCGTCTCCGATCTCGCCATCGTGCAAAAGAAAGGACGTCACACACCGTTATGTCAAACTCAGCAGCCGACGCGCGTATTCCCGCCAATAACGTTGGTACTCGTAAAGGAAGTTGAGGAAAGGCTCAACAAGGCGACGTGAAACTCGAGCCAAGCTGAGACTGCGTCTCGGAAGACGTGAAAAAGAAGAAAGAAGAAAAGACGAACACGATGCGGTTCAACCCGAAAAGTCTATTTTGCTAAGCATTTCTGTGACAGCAAGACAGTGCTTGGTGTGTTCCAGTTGTGTGGGTTACAGAACCTTCATACGCGTCGGTGCGGGTGACGCGCATGGTGTTTCGGATCTTTGTGTGGAGAGAGAGCAGTGACGTACTGCGATGACTGATGGCGAAAGATATGAGGTGGTGAGACGAACTGGCAAAAGTCTAATTGAGAGCACTGCAATGACAAAAGAAAGGACAGCGTGTGTGAGCGTGTTCTCGTCATTGTTATACATAATGTTACAAGATCGTTATAAGACCGTTTTTAGGGAAGACTTTGGGGATATAGTTTCACACTACCGGTAGGTGTGCTTTCGTGCCTGAACACCTTCGTTTTCAATGCTCTTCCTCAAACCAGAGTTTGCTTCTTTGTACATGGCGTCGAGAATCGTTCGTTGCCCTGCGATGGCTACTCGCATTTCCGCCTAACTCGTTCGCCTGGCGCTGGCGCATTGTCTCCTTGTATGAGATCGATTCGGGTTTACGCGGGAAGTAGGATCTCGGCCCAGCTGCTGTGCAAAAAGGTTACGCCAATCTACACGCGGTCATTAGCATTTGCCCTTGCCTCTGTTTTCCTTCTCTATCGTGCTCTATCCTTCGTCTGCAGTGTCGACAACCCAGGGCGACTTACAGCGAACATTCCCGCGGCAGTAACGATACTCCTGTTATCCTTGCTCGTAAAGGCTGTGATGGTGCTGGAAGCGAAGCTGGGCTCGTTGAGGGTACGGCCCTTGCCTGTCATCTGCTTGGGTGGCATCGTTGCGGAGGCGGGTGAGACGCTGCGCAATCCTCAGTCTCGAATGTTTTGGGTATTTGTCTGCGGGGGGCGTACGGAGGAGTTTGCGATCGTAGAAGTGGGCTGTTGCGGGGTTGCTATCGATGCGCTTTGGACATTGGTGATGATGTTTTTTGGCCAAGAAGGGTCGAGCGTCATCGGTTGCTTATGTAAGGGTCTGTGTTTCACCAGTCCATCATGAGCCATCCCTACGTCTTTCGTCTCATGGCACAACAGGTCTGCGCAAGGTTTTTGAGATACGAGACATCACCGCATATATGTACAAGTAGTGGTCTTTAAAGATAGCATGGCATCGTACTATTACAAGTTATTCACAAGCACGGCTGAGGCTCCCTCCCAATCTACGCCTTCTACTATAGCCATGTCCTTTTCCAAGGCCTAACCCTCAGCCGCGCAATGAATACGTTGGATAACCCCGTGTGCAGAATCAGATATTCGCCACCCCAAAACGACCCGTGAAAGACTAGAACGCCGTGAATGCTGATCTGAATGTCCCAAAGGTGAAACACAACAACTAAATGTGAAAAAATGGAGAGCATCCTGATGAAGAGTTGCCACCATCAATATTCCCAGCGTCAAGCTGAGATGCAGGCTGGACAGCCTACTCCTTCTTGCTTGCCAGGATACTGTATTGACCACCGCAACCAGCCCATGTAAGCTTCGTCTCACGTACAGCGGTGTTGTCGATCAAGGTAGGGACCTCAATGTCGTCGTCGGTACCCTGACCCGTTTGGAAGTTGACCGAGAAACCCCATGAGTAAGCCTTGCCGTCCTTGTCAACGACGATGGAGTGATCAGGACCGCATGCACCAGCGACAATGTTCTTGAGGTCGGGAAGCGGTGTCGGCTGCACGACGATCTTGGCCTTGCCGTTGTTCTTGAGAACCTTGTGCTCATCCGTCTCTGCATCAAGCTGGGACGGAGGAAGACCAGTCTGTGAGCCGTCGCAGCGACCCCAGACTAGCACTTGTCCATCCTTGGTGATGGCCAAGTTGTGATGCGAGCCTCCTGCCAATGATTGGACGCCCTTGCCTTCCAGACTGTGTATGATCTTGGGTTGGAGGACGCTAGCATCATCTGCACCAGCATTCTTGGTGTAACCAGTTTCGCAGTAGTTGTTCGCACCCCAGCCCCAGACGTGCCCATCTTCTGCGATGGCAAGACCGTGGTAGTCTCCGGATGCGATGTGTGTTATGCGTTGGCTGTGCTTCTTGATGGAAGAGTCGTGGAAGCCAATCTTGTTGGGCTGCAAACCTTGGATGAGATTGCGCTCAGTGACACGGCGTCCAAGCTGGTTTTGCTGGCCGTTACCCCAAGCATATACGTGGTGGTCCTTGTCCAGGGCGTAGACGTGGTTGGTACCACACACGAGCTGAATGACCTTCTTTATGCTGTCGATGTAGACGGGTCGAGGCGCTGTATGATTGTCGCGTTCGAAACCCATGATACCTTCGTTCTTTCGGAATGTGCCCCATCCATAGACCGCGCCCTCAGTAGTGAGTGCGAAAGAGCAGCTATCGCCGGCAGCGACGTCGACGAAGGTGGTGTCTTCAGGGAAGAACTCGGATGGTACGGGTGTTGGTGTGGCCTCAGCGTCGTTCAAGCCGCCGGTCTCATCCTCGGAGTCGGAGTCGGAATCGTCCGCGTCTAGATCACGCATCTTGACGGGTGCGTTCGACGTGTCGCGTCCAAGGGCATTGTTGTCGTTGACACCCCATGTCAGGATTTTGTTGTCTTTTGTGAGTGCGACAACGTGCATGCCGCCAGTAGCAATCTTGACAACGTTCAAGTTGGACAGAGGCTCGTTGTAGCGCGGCCGCTTCACGTCGATGGCCTTGTTTGTGGCGCCGAAGCCGAGCTCGCCAGAAGAGCCTTCACCAAAGACAAAAACCTTCAGAGGTTCCGTGTAGCGGATCTCGTTGATCTCAGTCTTCTTGCCCTTGTTGCGGCGCGGGCCCTTGGGGTTCGGGATCAGAGCTGGATCGACCTTCGCGGCTTCGGGCTCTGGCGTTGCGGTCTTTGACGCGGCTTTCGGGGCGGCTTTCGCTGCTGCTTTCGGGGCAGCCTTGGGGGCAGCTTTCGCTACCTTGGGCTTCTTCACGGCGGGCGCAGGCGCGTCTTCGACCTCCGGTTCGCTTTCATCGTCCTTCTTGCGCTTGGTCGTCTTCTTAGGCGCGGCCGCGGGTTCAGGTGCAGGAGTCTCTGTCTTCTTTGCGCGACTGCGTCCAGCAGCTGCTGTCTTCTTAGCGGTTGACCTTGTTTCGGACGCGTTGTGCTTACGCTTTGGTGGAGCTGCCTCGACTTCTTTGGTGTCTTCGTCGGCCATCTCGACGTCCTCAGTTTCCTCGGCTTCCTCAGCTATGCCGTTGGCGACAGGCGCGTCTTCGGCTTGCTTTGCGCCTCTTCGTGGGACTGCGAGGTTTGTCAGAGATAGCATGGTTACTGTGGGTGGACGTGACGTACGGGTGCCGTTCACCTTGACATCTTTGGTGTCTTTCTTCTCAACGGGCTTTGCGCTCGCAGAACGGGAAGCTCTAGCCATTGCGCGCGACACGAACGAGAGTTGGCGACACGAACGAAGGTTGATGCGCGTAAAAGCGTTTTGGTTGGAAGTTGTTGTGAGGTGGCTGGTGTTGTCGTGTACATAGAAAAATGTTGAACTGCATTTAGCAAGGCTGGCGCTAGACTTCACATGGACCAGCTCGCTGCAGCCACGGCCCGTCAACCATTCACCGCGTACGTCACTGCCTGATTGGCTACCTAGGCAGCCTGGCTACCATCGACTGACTGACCGTCCGACACTCGTTCGTAACATTTGATATCACCTGTCTCGTCACCACTGCGAGCCTTTTGCTGCTTTGTCTCCTATTTTCAGCAAGTCACTATGTCGATCCTAGGTGTCGGCGACCTTCACTCATGGCCGTCTTATGAACCACGGCTGACCGAGAAGTGTACCGCTCACACGTACGATGTTCTTATGTAATCTACACAGTGTGGATATTGAGAATGGGTCTGGTTCATGCTACACGAAAATGGTTGCCGAGCTTACACGCTTCAAGACAAGGGGATGGAGGCCACCCCACAGCATTCAGCTAGAGCTCAAAGAACACCTGTTATATATCATATCTATGCTGAGAATTTGTCATCGAATCAGTCAGCGTGGCCGAGGTAAGCATTTCTCCCAGCTCCTGACATCTTCTCATCTAACATCCGATAGTGGTTATGGCGTGTGACTCAAGCGAAAGCTTGTCTTCTCCGGAAGACGCACTCTCAAGAGGTTTCTCATAGGGCAACCTGCGTGGGTTCGAATCCCACCGCTGACATTATCTTTTTGCACTTTTTTGCAGCTTGCTGGCGTCGTCGCGGCCGGTGGATGCATCATGCCTTACCTTTTGGTGCTACTACTAGGCTAAAAGCGGGCCCGAGTGGCTGGCTATCGACCTACTGACCGCAACATCCAACATCACCTGTTCATCACCGCTGCAACCACTTTGCTGCTTTCGCTTCCTGCTCCTGCGCGTTCCATCTCGACCTTTGTCTTTCCCAAGGTTGTCATCTGACTACGTTCCAGCATCGCCAGTACCTTGATGGTTGCTTGAGACAACCTTATTTGCGACGGGGACGGGTAGTACAGCGCCATGTCTTTCACCATGTTTCACAAATCCCTTGTTGTTTTTGCCCTTCTCAAAGCGGCATCCTGTGTGCAACCTGAAGCGCCGCATCCTAAAGCGGCTCCTCTGCGCGATCTACCGTGGGCACAGCTCAACTTCCTGCATACTACCGATGTGCATGGGTGGTGGGGCGGCCATCTCCAAGAGGCGTCTTTCTCTTCTGATTGGGGCGACTATGTCTCTTTTGCAAAGCACATGCGTGAGAAAGCAGATGCGGATGGCTCAGACTTGCTGCTTATCGATACTGGAGACCGTGTTGGTGAGTTGGGTGTAAAGATGCGTATGATATGTATACTAACTTCATGTTTCCCCCTGCAGAAGGAAACGCCATCTACGACTCCTCAAAGCCTCGTGGAAAGTTAGTACTCCCTTCAAAATGCAGGTGAGATGAGTACTGACTTCCCACACCAACATCTAGGTTTACCTACGAGATCGCCAAAGAACAGAACATCGATCTGATATGCTCAGGCAACCATGAGTTGTACAAAGCAAACACTGCTGAGGGCGAATACTTCCACACGGTTCCCGACTTCAAAGGAAACTACTTGGCCTCCAATCTAGACATCTACAACCCCGAGACTGGGAAGCGGGAGCCACTCGCACCCCGCTTCAAAAGATTCACTACTAAAAACCAAGGTATACGCATCTTGGCCTTCGGATTCCTATTCGATTTCACGGGCAACGCAAACAACACCGTCGTTCAGAGGGTTGAGGACACAGTGCACGAGGAGTGGTTCACAGAAGCCCTTAAAAGCCAGGACATCGACTTGATCATCGTCTTTGGCCATGTTGACATCCGTTCCGAAGAATATGCGCTTTTGTTCTCTACTATACGGTCGATGCATTGGGATACGCCCATCCAGTTCTTCGGAGGTCATAGCCACATCCGCGACTACAAGATCTTTGATAACAAAGCTGTCGCTCTTGAAAGTGGGCGATATATGGAGACGCTCGGCTTCATGTCTATTGACGGTCTCAGTACTGGCGGTACCAAAGACGCAACGCCTCTAGCTCAGAGTCCAAAGCTCACCTTCTCCCGTCGATACATTGACAACAATCTTTATTCGCTGCGTCACCACAGCGGAAAAGACGCCAAAGAGTTCGCGACCGATCACGGTAAGAAGGTCTCCAAGGCGATTGGTGATGCCAGAGCGTCTCTTGGGCTGGGCAAAGTATACGGCTGTGCTCCACAAGATCTTTGGATCAGCCGTCGCCCATACCCGCACAACGAGAGTATCTTTACCTGGATCGAGGAGCAACTGCTGCCGCAGACTATTGAAAAGTCTGATC